TTTCTTTCTTTCTTTCTTTCTTTCTTTCTTTCTTTCTTTCTTTCTTTATTCATTCATTCATTTTAGAGAGAATGATAGAGTGATAGAGAGTAAGAGAGAAACAGAGAGCGAGAGAGTGTGAGCACAAGTAGGGCAGGGGCAGAGGTGGGGAGGAAGAGGGAGAGGGATAGAATCTTGAGCAGAGGCCCATGCAGGGCTCCATCCCAAGAACCCGGTGCCCCATGTTTATTTTCAACCATTATCATCCTAACCTCTTTGGGATTTCCCCTGTATATCTGAACACAAGTTTGTAGGGGCTTGTCTCCAATTCCTTTCTTGCATGGTTCTGTGGCAGGACTGACAATGTGATTTGGAAGGTGGAGGGGAAGGGAAGGGACATGTGAACCCAAGAAATATCCAAGCCTGAATGTCTTACTTCCCTCTGCATCTGGGAAACTGTTCCCATGTTGGCTCTGGAGTCATGAAGCTCCTTGATCTGAATCTGTAGAGAGTGGCCTCCAGGAAATAGCTTGAGCTAAGCTTCCATCTCTGTGTCTAGATATAAATGCTTACAGCACTTTACAGAAGAAGTATCCCTCTCCAGAACTTTATCCTGATAATCCTGATTTCTTACTTTGTGAGGATAATTTTTTTAAATCTTGGCAACAAAATGTGACTGAGGCATGGTAATGGAAAGCATCCTTGAGGCTAAAACCTGCTAAGAGTATAGCATTAATATTTGTTGCCTGATTCACAGACACTAGTCACCTGATGTGGGAGTCAACAAAACAGTGAGAACATAAGATAAGAATCTCAGGTCATTCTATAGGGATTTGACAACTTCATGTATGATGATTCTTCTGTCTATAATTGCTATTATTCACTTTTTAATGATTCTGAAATTAAGAAGATTTGACTATCAAAATATCTGACTGTCAAATACTGTCCCTTTTTTTTCTGAAGAACTTTTATTAAAAAGATAGTATTCCTTACGACTGGTACTATTTTAGGACCACAGAAATACTGTATTTCAAGTAGACCATTTGTTCATTATTTTCGTTAAATAACAAATATTTAGTATGTAAAAAATGACACTCACTCTTCTGAATATCAGGATACAATGTTGAAAAACACGGAATCACTCAGGAATGACTTGACTTCCTATTACTTTTTCCGTGTTCACCCTCACCCCCTTTTCTGGCAGTCAGTGGGTTATAGGCTGGCCCACATGGATACATGAGAATATGAAGTATTGCAGTAAAATGCTTTAGAAGATAGTTATCCTCCCAGCTACAGCGATGCCCTGGGATGCTGTGTTAAAGAACTTCCATATCAGGTAGTGTCTTAAGAACGAAATAGACCTGAAAGGTCAGGACTGCTGTTGTTCAGACTTCCAAGGGCCACCTGAAGACTGACATGTGCCTCACGAAGTCAGGGATGACACAGATGGCTAACTTTGGGAGGCCTCTGGCCAACATGCACGCATTTCAGTCCCTGTCCACCAGGGGGTGCAGCTTCCTACCACAATCACATTTCCTGTGTGAAATGTGGGCTTCCACTGATCATTTCTCTGTCACTCCAACCTTTCTTCATGGTAAGATTGAAGAGCATTATTTAGGTGACACTCCAGAGATGTGTTCTCCAGGCTTCGTGACTGTGGTTCTCTTCATGCTTGGTAAGTAAAATGCCTCTTAAAGTTTGGATTCTTTTTTCTATTGTGTCTGCAAAACATTTAACTATAATTTTATCCAAGAGCTTTATGCCCAAGGTGACACAGGTCTCTTTTCTTTTTCCTCAGGACAAACCCATGGAGACTCAGTGACCCAGACGGAGGGCCCAGTGACCCTCTCAGAAGAAGCTTCCCTGACTATAAACTGTACCTATTCAACAACAGGGTCTGCCACTCTTTTCTGGTATGTCCAATATCCTGGTGAGGGTCTACAGCTCCTACTCAATGCCTTTAGTGATAAGAAGAAAAGCAAGAAAGGATTTGAAGCCACCTTCGACAGCAAATCCAAATCCTTCCACTTGGAGAAAGGCTCAGTGCAAGCGTCAGATTCAGCTGTGTACTACTGTGCCATGAGTGACACAGTGACGGGGACTGCAGGGGGAGCTGAGCACAAACTCTGAGCAGAGCGGGGGCCTGGATGCTGAGCCTCTCTGCCTGATCCACTCTGGTTCCAGCACAGTCTGTGGTTGTTTGTCCCTCAGTGTCTGCTTGATACAAAATCATACAAACGATCAGAGCATAGGAACCAGAACATCCCCCAACCCCAGCTGTTCCCTAGTGACATTGAAACCGTTTGATGTCCATTTTTCCTCGGGAAGGGTGAAAATAATTTCACGTTAAAACAAAGTAACAATGAATTGGTATCAGAACGCCTTGGTGGCTCAGTTACTTAAGTGTCTGACTCTTGATTTCAACTCAGGTCAGGATCCTGTGATCCTGCCTGCATTAGGCTCCCTGTGCACTTGGGAGGGAGTCAACTACTCTCTCTATATCCCTCTCCTTCTTCCCCTCCCCCTGTTCCTGGGATCTCTCTCTCTCCAAAATGAATAAATAAATCTTTAAACAAACAAACAAACAAACAAAACTAATGATGTGGTCTCTTGCTCATCCTTGCGGTGAATGTTCTTCCCCAGAAGTTGTTCAGGGTGCTCTGGTGGATGTTGCTGTGTCTATGACAATTTTATTTTTTATTTTTATTTATTTATTTAAAAGATTTTATTTATTTATTTGACGGAGAGGGAGACAGCGAGAGAGGGAACACAAGCAGGGGAGTGGGAGAGAGAGAAGCAGGCTTCCCGCTGAGCAGGGAGCCTAATGAGGGGCTCGATCGCAGGACCCTGGGATCATGACCTGAGCCGAAGGCAGACGCTTAATGACTGAGCCACCCAGGCGCCCCTATATGGCCTTTTATGAGAAGCAATGATCACTTCTAAACCCAGCAAAGATTGGATGTTGGTCACTGAGAAATGAAGAGAAACACATAAAAAACTTCCCCCAAATCTTGTATAACACTACACTTTATGATTTTTGCTCACCAGTTTGACTTTTCTTTACTTAAAGAAGTTTTTCCTTTCCTCCTTCTAACCCCTGGCAACCACTGATGTTTTTAGTATCTCCATAGTTTTGCCGTTTCCAGAATGTCATATAGTGGGTATCAAACTGAATGCAGCCTTTTCAGATTAGCTTCTTTCACTTAGAAATATGCATGTTAAGGGGGTGCCTGGGTGGCTCAGTCGGTTAAGCGTCTGCCTTTGGCTCAGGTCATGATCTCAGGGTCCTGGGATCGAGTCCCGCATCGGGCTCCCTGCTCAGTGGGGAGTCTCCTTCTCCCTCTCCCTCTGCTTGCCGCTCTCCCTGCTTGTGTTCACTCTCTCTCTGTCAAATAAATAAAACCTTAAAAAAGAAAAGAAAAGAAAAGACATATGCATGTTAAGTTTCCTCTATGTCTTTCCATGGCTTGATAGCACATTTCTTTTTAGCACTGAGTTAAGATTCCCTTGTCTGGCTGTAACATAGTTTACTTACCCTTTCTTCTACTGAGGACATCTTGGTTGCTTTCTTGTTTCTGCAATCATGAATAAAGTTGCTATAAATTATTTTGTGCAGGTTTTTGTGTAGGCAGAAGTTTTCCAGCCATTTGGGTAAACACTAAAGATTGTTATTGCTAGATCATATGGTAGGAATCTGTTTAGTTATGCAAGAAACTCCTACTCTTGTGTTCCAATGTGGCTGTACCATTGTGCATTTTCCTTTTTCTAAAAAAGATTTTATTTATTTATTTTATTTGAGAGCGAGAATGAGAGAGAGAGAGAGAGAGAGCATGAGAGGGGGGAGGGTCAAAGGGAGAAGCAGACTCCCTGCTGAGCAGGGAGCCTGATACGGGACTCGATCCCGGGACTCTGGGATCATGACCTGAGCCGAAGGCAGTCGCTTAACCAACTGAGCCACCCAGGCGCCCCCATTGTGCATTTTCATCAGCCATGAATGAGGTTTCCTGTTGCTGGACATTCTTGCCCTTGTTAAAGTAAAAACTAAACAGAGCAGGCTTGAAAATGCCCTGGGCAATGATCACTTTTAAAAAAATCAATGTAGTCCTACAAATAAAGCTTAATTTAGTTTATTTTGCCAGAGCAACTTGACCTGCACCTTTTTTTTGCTGTGCCTCTGGAAATGACAAGAGAAACTTGAACTATTTCCCAAATTTGATGTGAGGTACCCACTGACCAATTTCTGATAATATTTACAGCAATTTTGATATTACAACCAATCACTGTGAAGAATAGACACTTACGGCCTGTCTCCTCACTATAAGTTGTTTTCTTAACAATATACTCCTGAGCCTCATTCCATATTTTGGTTTGAGTGCTCCCAGTTCATGAACTGCCTTTTTGGAGTGTCCGCATGACACTTTTACCAATTAACACTTTGGTGAAATTCACTGGATTGACTTGGGCTATTTCTAAGGTTTTGACACAAGCATTTGGTGGTGTTAATGTTGTAGTATCTTATTTTTTTAATTTAATTTGTATCATGTAAGGAACACTTACCTTGAGATAGAGACTCTTAAAATTTTAAGTGTACAATACATGACTGTTGGCTATGGGTACAATGTTGTACAGCAATTGTCTATTCTTTCACCTTGCTCATGGATCAGTAACTCCCCATAACCCCGTCCCCAGAGCCCATGGGAACTTCTTCTTTGATTCACTCTTTGATTCTATGAATCTGACTATTTTAGATGCCAATTTAAGTGGAATCATGCATTATTTGTCTTATTGTGACTGGCTTATTTCAGTTAGCATAATGTCCTCTAGCTTCATCCACGTGGTTGCATATTGCAGAATTTCCTTTTTGTTTTTCTTTTAAAGATTGAGTAGTACTCCACTTATGTATATAGCACACTTTCTTTATCCATTCGTCTGTTGTTGGATATTCAAGTTGTTTCCCCGTCTTGACTATTGTGAACCATGCTGCAATGAGCATAGGAGTGCTTAATATCTCTTCCAGATTCTGATTTCAATTCTTTTTGATATATACTCGGAAGTGGGATTATTGGATCATATGGTAGTTCTATTTTATACTTTTTGAAGAACGTCTATACTGTTTTCCATGGTTGCAGCATTGTGCATTGCCTCCAACAGTGTGCAAGTGTTCCAATCTCTTCTCATCCTCGACAACACTTGCATTTTGGGTTTTTGATAATAGTTGTCAATTTTGTTTTTCAATGTATAAAGTATGGATGATACCGGAGAAGTTATTGTAAATGCACTGGCAAATACATTGAGATAGTCATCATTAAAAAGGAACTAGAAAATTACACATTTTAAAGTATGTGTTTTTTTCTCCCACCTTTATGTTGTGGGTAATACTAACATTTTAAATACTGAAATACTTAATTGAATAGTCCATTTTCATATAATTGCATGATTGTGTGAAGTGTATTTCATTGGGGCTTTGATTGCATTGTCCTGATGATCAGTGACATTGAGTGCTCACATTCTTGTTGGCCATTTGAATGTCTTCTTCAAGAAATGTCTATTTTAGTCCTTAGATACCTTTTGATTGGCTTATTAGTTTTTTTAAACTATTATTGTAGGAGTTTCTTACACATTTTGGATATTAACCCCTTATCACATAGGTGGTTTGCAAATATTTTCTCCCACTCGATAGGATGACTTTTGATGCTGTTGATTGTTTTCCTTGCTGTGCTGAGTTTGTTAGTTTCATTTGTTTTTTTAGCTTCTGTCTTTTTTTCTCTTAGATCTTCCCTTTGTAAGAGTTAACTAGTTTGATAGCTAGGTGTTCTCTTAGACACTTCTTTTTTTGCAGAACTGACATTTCTTTGTGATATCTCCTTGGGTGTGGTGGGTTTAGCAGGTGAGGAGGGGGCTTTAGACTTTGCACACTGGGGCAGCAGGAAAATACTGTCCTATCTGCTCATGTTTCTTGGTTGTCTTCTTTTAGGTTTGTCTCTTAAGCAATATGGAGCAATAGTTTTAAATTTTCGTTCAATTCAATAATTTTTTTTTATCTCTGATTGATTACTGATATATTTGAACCTATTACTAATATTTTGGTATTGCTCCATATGCTTCCACTTCTTTCTTTTCTTTTCTCTTCTGTTGCACTGACAGAATTTTCTCTTTTTCTCTGTTGATTTGGGAAAAATAAAGTATCTTTCTGTTTTATTGACAGGATCCTCAAATTGTGTGTGTGGGTATGTGTGCAAATGTGTACATTTTTTCTATGTCTAATTTTATTCTGAGATTTTTTTTCCTTGTATATACCAAGACTTCTCCCTGGGTGTGCTTTTGCTGATTTACTATACTTAGAAAACCTCAGTGGCTGAATGGAGCAAACTATATACTATCTCTGTATCAGGACAGAATTTCAGAAAGAGTATATCAAATGGCTGATAAACTACCATTGCAATGCACTTTAAGAAAAAAAATAGAAAATGAAAACCTTCCAACACAAGAATCAGAACATGAATTCTCTTCATTCTTCTTCAGGCCCTTTGTCCCTGACTTTCCTCACCTGCTAGCCTCATGGCTTATTCCTTCATTTTTTCCTTGTCTCTGTTCCTAGAAAAACATGTGCTCATGTGAGGAATGCTTAATAAAGTTTATTGTAGTGCTGTATTTCATAGATAAAATAAATCTTAACCTTTAGTCAGTAGAGGAAAGGATGTATAAATGGAAGTATATCCACAGTATGGAAATGTAGTGGAACAAGGGATGTATATGGGTTAATACAGTAAGACCTACAAGATTTACTATTGAGATTATAAATCAAGGTGCAGAAAGGTAGAGCCAGTATGTATATTTGTATTGTAATAAATTATAAATAAAATTTTCTGTTGATTCAAATCTAGTAAAACATCTGGAAACATCAACTCCAAATTGCCAGGCTGAAGAAAGAATTAGAGTAATAAGTGACGAAAGGGCCAGACTTGGGAGTGATAGTCAAAGGGATTTTACTCTACAGGTAATGTTTCATTACTTTAATAATTCATGTATTCACAAATTTCTCCTATTGTTAAAAGTAATAAGAATCATAAAAGTCATCATAAAGGTTTATCCATATTCTCCTCTATTCTTGTCACCAAAAAGAGGAAAGGAGAGAATGATCACCTGTTCCACAGAACACCCAGTGTTCATCAGGACAAGGTCACTCCTTCACTCCTCACCAATGAATCCATCCCCCAAACCTCTCCCTTCTGGTAACCATCAGTTTGTTCTCTTTAATTGTCTGTTTCTTGATTTATCTCTGTCTTACTTTTTCTCTTTGCTTGCTCGGTTTGTTTTTTAAATTCCATATGAGTAAAATTGCATGGTATTTGTCTTCCTCTGACTGACTTATTTCCCTCAACATTATATTCTCTAGTTCCATCCATGTCATAGTAAATGGCAACATTTCATTCTTTTTTATGGCTGAATAATATTCCATTACACTTTATATATTCTGAACATCTAGTATATTACCACATTGAAACTAAAAGCTCAATGAATATTTATGGATTTTTTTGAACTCAGGTAAAGAAATCAAATAAATAGGACAAGATGAGATTTCCAAATTATTTTCTGATATTAATTTCCATGCAATTCCATTTTGAAAGTAGGATTTGGTTCACTTGTAATCTCCATTCAGTCTAAGCAGGTATCTTCATTTCTGACCATCTCCATTTCCTTCATCAGGAAGCTTGGAATGAATGGGGTTGGAGGTATGTCTCTGCTGAGTTGCTTGGTCTGAAGTGGTCTTTGCTGACAGCTTCATTCCTCTAGGGGGCACTCTAAGCTTTACCACAAACAAAGACTTTCTGATGGTCCAGGGTTGAACAAACAGTTAAAGAGAGAAGAGAAATCATGTGAGCCAGTCCCATTATAGTCATAAATTATGAATTCCTACCTCAGAAACTAATGATGTACTATATGTTTGCTAATTGAACATAATAAAAAATAAATAAATTATAAATTCCTAGAATATAGCCTCTAAAAAAAAATCCTTTGATAACAATTTTAAGATAATCTTATAAGAACATAAGGGATGTTAGGAGGTTTGAAAGAAAAAAATCTTTACCAGTGTGCTTTCAACTATCTGTGGTAATTGGAGGGTGGGAGGGGGAGGGACAGAGTTTGTGTAAAGTTGTAAAGTCGATCTCAGGTTTTCAGTTCTGCTGTTGCATATCAACCTCAGACACCTGGAAGCCATGTCTCTAGAAATCCATTATGCAGATAATTCTTCACAGACCATGGGAGGATTATTTCTGGGCATTGTGACCATGGAAACCCAACAGAAAACATCCCATTACCTGTTGTCATTTGTTACGAATAAAATCGCTTAAACTTACTGGCCTTGAAACTATTTCAATACCCCAGACATCCTACCTATTCATATATCTCTGCTGAGAGTGGAAGGAACAAGAATGAAGAGAAGAAGGGAGGAAAAGATAAGGAACAAAAATAGAAGGAAAGGGAAAGGACAATATTGACTGTGACCAGCAATGCGTGGCCTGGCCAGACTCAGCTGTGTGGGTGAGCGTGGTGTCTAGCAGTTGCACCGGAGAGGTGGAGAGGTGGAAATTAAATCCGAAGGGACATTATGCAGACATTCTATTTTTCACCAACTCAATTCTGGTTGGAATCATTTTCTATGCAGATGGTGACTGTCTGTCTTGGTTTCTAGAACTCTCCTGATTTCAAGAAATTGAATTTACTTCTGCAGTACACAATGCATGCTATCAGATAGTTTTCCTTTGTCAGTATTTTTACAAAGCTGAATTCTCACATTGTCTGTCAAAATATGCAATTTGGGGAATGGAGTCACTCTTCGCTGTAATGCTTCAAGATTCTGTGTAACCCCCTTTCATCACTGACTCTTCTAGAAACATCACTCATCTTTTCTCACACACTAACCCACAAATTTCTTACATAAAGTGTTTTAAGAAAAAAAAACTTATATCTTCCTATATTGGAAATTATGACCCTGTCTCTCTGCACTTTGGGCAAGCACAGTTTTGGAGAGATTACTGTGCAGTGTCACTGGGCCACTGTGGTTGGAGTCTCGAGTTCTGTGAATGACAAGGCTGAGGTGTGATTGGTGCTCAGTGATTCTGGTGGAATGGATTGGTTGTAAGAACACAGTTTCTCTGGATCCAAGACTCTACTCTCTGCCGAGTAGGGGTGAAGGCACCTCATTAGCTAGACAAGGAATCATGAGGAGACACTGGCGAGCTCTGCTGGGGGTCCTGTGCATCCAAGTTTGCTGTGAGTGGGGGCATTCCAGATGGGGATTGGGGAGTGGTCCATAGCCCATAGTGGTGGGGGAAGCTGACACTGAGCTCTTAGATGTTCTTACATCCTCAGGGGTGTGTTGTGGGAATTTTTACATGTTTTAAAACTGCATCAGTGACTCCCCGGAGATATCATTTGTGTATGTTCTTCTCTTCCCACGCAGGGGTGAGAGGGCTGGAGGTGGAGCAGAGCCCTTCAGCCCTGAGCCTCCAGGAGGGAGCCAGCTCTACTCTGAAGTGCAACTTTTCTAGCACTCCAGACAGTGTGCAGTGGTTCCAACAGAATTCCGGAGGTGGTGGCCTCACTCGGCTGTTTTACGTAGCCTCGGGGATGAAGCAGAGTGGAAGGCTAAATTGCACAGTGAATGTTAAGGAACGGTCCAGCACCCTTCACATCACGGCCTCCCAGTTGGAAGACTCAGCCACCTACTTGTGTGCGGTAGAGGCACAGTGCTCCCTGGTGATCTGCAGCCTGCACCTAAACTGCAGCTGAGCCTGCAGCCCCAGCTCTTCCCTGGAGCAGGCATTTGCCCCCAAAGCAGCCTTTGCACATTTTCAGACTTTCAGATTTATGTTACAGCACTTTTTTTCCCCTTCTAAAATTAGACCCATTAGGGCTTTCAGTTCACTTGCTTTTCTTGCCCCTTTTCTTCCCAGAAAGTCCTTTGCTGATAAAAAGCTCTATGAAGAAGCCACTGGGCCAAAGACAGAGACGCCCATATCTAATACCCTGGGAAACCAGATCCCCTGGCAGCTAGTATATAAATTATACGTAAATAGCCAAATGGAAAATGCTCAAAAAATTCAATGGTTGTCAACAAACAGAAAGAGATTACTAAATTTTTTAGTTACTTGTAGGTGGTTCTTGTTCAAAGAAATGTAAGGAGAACATAATATTTTTTAAAGTCTGTATTCACCTTTTCCAGTCCTGGAAATACAAATATAATAAAATAATTTTATTGAAGTTTAGGCACTCATCTTATTACATTTATTTTCTATTTCAGTAAGATAACACCCTACAAATAAGTGCTTTTATTTTATGCATGACTAAAGGAAGGATTTTAGAGCATAAGTGACTTGGTGGAGCTCATTATTCCTAAATTAGTGAATCTGAGGTGACATAAGAGCTTACTGTCTGAGTACCTGATATAGAAGACTCTATAAAATCACAAAATCTAAATGATTTCTATTGATCAATTTGTACAATGTGTTGACGTATATCACTGACAGAGTATCCATTTGAGTCATTTCTAAATAGCACCTTGTGTGGAAGAGTTTATGGAAACTTTCATTCTGTTCCATGAAAATCCTTGCTTTTCCTTGCATTTTGAATGAATCTATTACTCATGATTTTATAACATCATGCCCTGTTTGGGAAAGGGAGCAGAAAGCTTCCAGGACTACCCTAAAAGAACCCTTCTCTGTTGTAGCCAGAGACAAAGACTTCTGACCCCAAACCCAAAGTTTAAACTTGCATGTGTAAGTATTACAGCACAAACTGAAACTCAGCATGCTCTGTTTTTTATTTTGATGAAAGGGCATTGATAAGAAGGCCTGCGTCCCTGAAAATTCAGATGGAGCTAAATGCACAGACTACCTGAAGCTGGGAGCAGAGCCAGCTTCTTGAGCATGTGACCTGTGCAGTTACACAGCCCCCTGGTCTCCCAAGGAACCCTGCCCTTGGTTTAATGCTGTGACATCACTCTCTTGAAATTAATACTAATTTTATCCTTGTACTTGTCTTGTATAAGTGAGTCCCATAGTTGGGAGGAGCACGTGCCTGAGCAGAGAGATACGCGGGGCAGCAGGACACAGGCAGGGACACATGCAGGCTCAGGCTCTGGGTCACAGCTGTGAGCTGAGCAGTTGGCAGGGCCACCTGTGGTACCTGTGCCTGCTTTGGACTAGCTGGGGCTTTGACAGGCAGCAAAGGGTGTAGTAAATATTGTCAGGAAATTACTACAAAATGAAAGTGCATACACAGACATTTTAATAAAGCGGTTTGGCTGTTTCTTACACAACTAAACATACTCTTATGGTATGATCCAGCAGTGGTTTTCGTGAGTATTTACCCAAAAGGTTTGAAAACTTATGTCCACACACAGACCGGTACACAGGTGTTTTATAGCAGTTTTATTCATAATTGCCAAAACTCTGAAGTAAGCAGCATGTCCTTCAATAGGTGAATGAATAAATAAATGGTGGTACATCTATGAGGTATGAAGTCATGAAGAGATAGGGAAAACTTATATGCATTTTACTAAGTGAAAGCAGCCAATCCGAAAAGGGTAGATACGCTATGATTCTGATTCTATGATATTCTGGAAAATGCAAAACTATGAAGTAGTTAAAAAATTGACCTAAATATCTATCTCTGGCAAGAAGGAAATTTGCCCAAAGAAGAGTTTGAAAATTCTTATCTTATGGGGAATGGATGAACGAATGGAAGATTCTCCGAATCAAGAAATTTTCCATACATTAAAAACGTATTTCATACATACACATATATTAATATGTTGAGTTGATATTCTTCACCATAGCTGTCTTTAAATCTTTCAGGTTGGGAGAGGTGGAAGGAAGATGAATTTTATTCTTGGTCATTTCAGAGGATCCATGAGTAGGATCACAAGAAAGAGGCTTCCACTTTTGGAAATGAGGTAGTCTTGGTTTCCCAGAGATCATTTCTCCTGATCAGTTCTTTAGGGCCAGTTTCCTGTTGGTACCTTTCCTGGAGCACACAATATTTATGTTTCCCTGGATATATTCTCACAGAGGACATCAGAAATTTCCAGAGAGTAATGTAAATGAGAGGGGTTTTGGCAGGGAGAGATAATTCTGGAAACTCAAGGACTGGAGAATTTTATCAATGAGTCTTGGGGAAAGAACACTGTACTGGTGTTGCTAGGTGAAATATGATGGAGTATGGAATGTGAAGCAGTGTTGGTCAGGAAGTGGGAAGCATGACAGGATAGATGGCTAATACTTTAGAGGAAATTCTCCTGAGGCTATGGGTCAGTAATTGCATTGGAGGACATGTCATCTATTTTGATTGGAGAAAAATGTAATCATTTCAAGTATAAAGTTACATATGGTTATATTTTCTGAGTTTGCATCTTGATGTTTTCTTAGAATTTCTACTGTGTCTTTCAATATGTTGCATTATATAAGACACACAGCATTCAAACAGATTTCATGTCTAATTTCTCTATGCAAATTATTCAAAACTTGGGTCAAAAGTTTCCTATAGTTGAAATAGTAATAACTGATTTAAGTTACTCTCCTGATCCCTTATCATTGAGATTTGCTCTTTTACTTTTGTCATAGTCATCTTATTTGAGGGAAGATTAAACATTCTGACTGTTGGTACAGTCAGCTCTCTGGGAATTGCAAGGTCACTAGCAAGACCAGAAGAGGAGCAGAGTCTGAGAAAAGAGGCATTTGAAATTTCAAATGATCTTCTCTCTTACTCTAATATTTGGCTTCCATGTTCGTTGTACAAATAGTTTTTCTCCATAACAGACAAATAAGGATGGTAGATTTGGCAGAAAGGGAAGGTTTTCTATTTACTTTGTATAAGAGATGAGACTGAATCTTGATTCCTTCCTGATTTCAAACATGTACCCCAGGGCCATCACTGTATAAATAGCAATAGCATCTACCTCTTTCCAATATACTAACAGTGACTCAGGAGTGCGTAGAGGTATAAATCTTGATCTCCACATTCTTACTGTGTACTTCATCATTAATCAAGATATAATTTGCTTGACCAATTGCTGCCTTGTTGCTTGTGAATCCCTCAGAGGCACAGGCTAAGAGAAGAACATTTCCCCAGTGAGCTCAGTAGAGATGTGACCACAAGAAGGCAGTGCACCTGTGCTGATGCAGAACACGTGGAGGGTTCATTTTAGTGCATCTGATTGACTAGGCTATGGCAGAAGCAGAGTCTTTTTCTTATTGGCTGGTAGACAATGTGGGAAAGTACTCTGTTAGAGGAAAGAAGGGACTGCCTGACAAGAAAAGGAGCTGAGCTGGCTGGAGGCTGCAATTCTGAAGCTGATCTTAACGGGAGGAACCATGAAGACATCCATGGGACCTTTAATCATATTCTCATGGCTGCAGCTGAACTGTGAGTTGAGAAAGTACGGGAACCAGAGTATATTGGTGGATATTCTTCAGAAGTCAAGACTGGCTTTACTCAGGTTTCCTTCAGTTAGTGTAGAAGAAGAGAATTCTGAAGCAGACTAACCTGGAATCTCTTCTCCTTTCTCTGATCTTTTCTTTCTGCACAGGGTTCAGCCAAGGAGAGAAGGTGGAGCAGCATCCTTCTACCCTGAGTGTGCAGCAGGGAAGCAGCTCTGTTATCAACTGCAGTTATTCAGACAGTCTCTCAGACTACTTCCCTTGGTATAAGCAAGAGTTTGGAAAAGGTCCCCAGCTCCTTATAGACATTCGTTCAACCATGGCCACAAAAGAACACCAAAGATTCACTGTTTTATTGAATAGGACAGCCAAACATCTCTCCCTGCACATCGCAGACACCCAGCCTGAAGACTCAGCTGTGTACTTCTGCGCAGCAAGCACACATTGCTTCCCAGGCACCTGCTGCCTGCACTCAAACCTGGGTGTGGGGCAGCCCCCTGTCCTTTGACACAGACCTTCAAGTATAGCTTTTGTGCTGTTGTTTGTCTGCAAATGGAAACTAATGTGTTAGACGTTAAAGGCATATAATAAGACTATTAGGATGGAGATGACCCAGACAGGGTTAGAACATTTTGTTGGATGACTGTTTTTTAATGGATTCTTGAATGGAGCTAGTAATGTTTTATTTTGAAATTCAGGTTTTAAAGAACTATACATTTGCCATTGAGATTCCTGTCCTTTAAATAACCCCCGGTACCAATATACAGTCCTTTTTATGGATGGGCACTTAAATATTGTGTTTCAAAAGTAGCATTTTTAATTTTTGTGATCTAAATATTTCATGCCAAATATAGAAATATGGAAAGTACAAATATGAAAGTGATAATTCTGTAATATATAATGTTGCTAATATTCTTTTGGTCTCTAAATGTTTTTATTTAATCAGATTCATGAATTTTTCACTTTATGGATTTTGATTTGAGCATTCCACACTTCATCAATTCTTTACATCAAACTTCAGCATTGTTTTAATTTCATGCTCTCTTAATTTAAATTAAATTAATGAAATTTAAGTTTTCATTTAATTAGTACATTACAATACCTTTGTGAGGTATTTAATTAATTATATTTTCATATTAATTTTCTTCCTTCATAAATGGGGCATAATTTGACAGACATTTCTATGTACTTTGATCCTTTTCTTGTTCAGAAATTGTATCACAGGTTTTCCTTTAGAGCCTAGGGCGGTATGTACTATTTGTGTGTTTAGGGAAATTAAGATAGAAAGTGATTTGACAATGTGAGCTTCAGATAAAACTCAGAAATCTATTCATGTTTACAAAATTCTGTAAATATCTATTTGCAATGACTCTTTCATACAACTTAGGAGACAGAATTCTGCATCCCATTCACTGTTATATTTACAGTACCTAGCATAAACTTTTTCACATAATTATCAGTAGATGTTTGTTAAAGAAAGAAGGAAAGGTCAATTCTGCCACTTACTCATAGTTTTAATTTAAGTTTTATGTTTGAATTAAGTTTATAAATTGATTTGTGAAAAACAAAAGACCTTAATATGTATATCTGATTATTTGATTGTTTTAGAACATACTCTTTCATTCCGTTTATATGTCTCTCTTAATAAAGCTCTGTTGTTTGAAGGTAATTCAATTATTTGCAGGGCTTGTAATTTTTTGTTATGATTATAATGAAAACCTTTCTTTCTGAGATATATGGGAAAACTTTTATATGCATGTATCAGCCACCTTACTATTTTTAGTAGATTGCAGGAAGACACTTGGACTAATGACTAATGTAGAGATGACATGCTACCAGCCTCCCTGCCACGTGTTCACATTTCACTGAATTAATCATTACTAACAACAACCTTCTTTTTAAAAATTTATTTCTCAACAAAAACTTATGATGTACTACATGCTGGCTAAGTGAACATAATAAAAAATAAGTATTTAAAAAAACCTTATTTCTCTAGTGTTGAAGAGACATCAATGGAGTGAAAGAAGTTGTGTAAATATTTAATTCTATCATTCTCCCACCTCTGCTCAAGGGTAGACTCCTTTCAAGTCCCTCGATGTCTTCCTAACTAATGATGGTTATAATTGGCAATTGTCATGGTGAGAGTGGTTTCTCTTAGCTGAGCTATGGTTATGAGTTATTTGCCAACTACTTTTTCTTATTGGGAAACGCATCAGATTAAATTCAGTTTATCACTTAGAACAAAGGAGGTTAGGAGTGTAGCCCAACACCTCAATGGGCTTGATTCTTTCCCTCCTTATAGAGCTCCTGTGCAGTAGAAGGAAGGCGACTCTTGATTGGTCCATTTCCTCCAAGTCTGATGATGGAGTCAGAAGGAAGCATGCTTCTCTATTATTAGTTTATTTCTTCTTAAGTCAAGTTAAAAGTGAGAGAGAGGGTGCCATTGCTACAGGTTTGACTGCTTGATCATACTTAGGTGAGAATTGATGCAGTGGAAGAAAACAAGTGTTTTATCCAGAGTGTGCAGTGAGTACATAGCTCAGATCCAGACACACTCAGGTTTTAAACCTTCACCATGCTTGGTATATTTGTTTCCTACTGCCTGGGAAAAGATAGGACAAACATTAAGGCCTGCCCTAGATCCTGTAGCCAGACTGCTGAGAGTCTCCCTTTTGTTTGCTTTCTCTAGGATGGTGCTGACTGAATTTGTGTGATTTCTCCCAATGTGGCAGAGAGGGTCTGCTTTCTGCACATGCTCACTGTTGTTGCCCCCGGTGTGTAATGGTGGTAGCCCGCAGGATGGGATAATGTATGGGTGACGGACTGAGTGCTGTGTGTAGTGTTTAGTGTAATTAGGTTTGTTTGCTGTGAGTCATCTGTACTTGCATTTAGTTTCTAAGGGTCTGCTCTGTGTTCATCCATCTTATTAACACCTCCAGCATAGAGGTGCTCAGTTTGCATTCAGGAGGTTTACCTCCTTCCCACCAGTCTTATCTGCAAATGATCATAATTAGGGGCTCTAAGGGGACACTGTGAAGGAGCAAAGTGTGAATTTTCCCCTTTGTCTGCTTGTGCCCTTGACTTCTACACTCCGTCAAAAGCATTTTTTGCCAACATGTGGCTCAGTTTGCACACTTCTGAGCCCCCCTTTTTGAGCAATGTTCCTCACTCCAAAATCCTCATTCTCTCCATTTTCCTCCTTCCATCTCTAACTCCATTTCCCCAGAGCCTTAAAATTGGATGGTAATGGATGGTTGATAATTGGTTTTGCATTTTAACACCCTCTTATATATTTGTTTGGACGGCAGATTTGTAGAGTAGAAATCTTAAGTATCTCCTCAAATTTTTTTAATGATAAAATTTTAACATTTTTAAAAGATTTTATTTATTTGACAGAGAGAGACACAATGAGAGAGGAAACACAAGCAGAGGGAGTGGGAGAGGGAGAAGCAGGCTTCCCGCTGAGCAGGGAGCCCGATGTGGGGCTCGATCCCAGGACCCTGGGATCATGACCTGAGCCGAAGGCAGCCACTTAACGACTAAGCCACTCAGGTGCCCCAAAATGTTACCATTTTCACATTCATTTTTACCATTTGAGCATTTAGATTTTTTGAGTGTACAGTTCAGTGTCATGAAATACACTTATATTGTTTTTCAATAAGCACCACCTTCCATTTCTAAAATTCTTGTCATCTTGAAAAACTGAATATTTGTACTCATTAAATAATAACTCTCCTTCACTCCATTCCTCTAATCCTTCAGAACTACTATTTTGCCTCTCCTTTCATGATTTTAACTACTTTAAACCTCATAGAAGTGGAATAATGCAGTATTGGTCATTTTTTGATACTTTACTTGACATAATGTCCTCAGGATGCAGGCACTTGCATCACGTGTCAGAATTTCTTTGCTTTTTAAGGTTGAATGATATTCCAGTGTATGTCATACCATGTTTTGTTTATCAATATCTATCTGTTGATAGACTTTTGGGTTGCTTCCTACTTTCAGTAGAAACTGGAATTCAAAAACATCTCAATATTTATGGCAAATATCCAAATTCTTTCAGTTTTTGAGTATATATCAGAAGTGGATGGCTGGGTCATAAGGTAATTCTATTTTTAAAAAATTTAGACACATTTATACTGGTTGATTGGAACAGCTATGCTCTAGACTATGTTATCACAAGCAAGTTTCAAGGAACGGAGAAACAGTGATCACTAGTCATGAAAGGAGCTCCAGTATATTGGTGAATCACAAAATCCTGGAAGAGTTTGGCCCTCTTGCTACAGTGCATTGCTTATTTCAGGTGTGAATAATTGGTCAGGTTGGAATGGTAAAGCCACTACCACTGGTCAGCCCCTGAATAGCAGTTTGAGTACCCATTATAATATCTTTTCTTTCCTTTTTTGGTAAAAGGGCCACATTTGAAATTATTTAATTCTTCTTTATTAGTTCCATTTACATAAAGAAAGAACCTGTGAAAAACACTCTTAAAATATCTCAAAGGCTTAGGAAGAAGTCCTTTGCTACCAGCTAGTCTCTCTGAAATTTGACAATCTATAGTGTCAGAAAGAGGGAACAGGCTTTTGGTATCATCCAGCTCTGTGTTCTAAACTATTAGCTCTGCTGTGAACTTTCTGGATACTTTTGAGCTTTGTTTCATTATTGGTAAAATGGGAGAGTGGTATCTTCTTTAGTATTTTGTTGTGACAATTTATCGATAATATATCCAGAGAGATTGACAAGTAGCAGATGAGCAGTTTAGGAGGGTAATTTTAATAGGTCCAGAAAAAGCATTTGACAAAATTCAGATCCATTCCTGATTAAAACTCCCAGCAAATTACATAGAATTGAAGGGAATTTCGTTGCCTTAAAAAAGGGCTTTACAAAAAGTCTACACCAAATGTCATACTTGATGGTGAAAGCTTAATTGCTTTCTCCTTAGTTTGGAAAACAGGGGAAGAGTTTTGGCTCTCGCCAGTTGTATTTAATATTGAAGTAGAGGTTTGAGCCAATGTAATAAGGCAAGTAGAAGAAACAAATGCCATACAGTTTGGAAAGGAAGAAGTGAATTTGTCTTTGTTAACAGAGAACATATTTGAGCAGAAAATGCAAGGGTACCTATAAAAAAAAGCTACTAGAACAAATTGTTTTAAGAAAAATCAAATGTACTCCTACCATATGATCCAGCCATTCTACTCCCAGATATGGACCCAAGAGAAATGAAAGCATATGTGTATAAATTATCTTATATGCAAATGTTCATAGCAGCTTTATTTGTGAGAGCCCCACTGTGAGAGTATGGGCATCAACAGGTGAAGAGACAAACTGTTTTATAGCCACATGATGGGATACTACTCAGCAACAAAAAGAAACAATGTCTTAATAATTATGACGATGGAAGAATCTCAAATAATTATGCTGAGAAGAAGCCAGACAAAAGAGTACATATGATTCCATAATTCAAAATTATAAATTATGCAAACTCATTCATGACAGAAGTGTTCCCTGGAAATGAGAGTGGTGAGGGTTGAGAGAAGGATTATAAGGAGACATAAGGTAACATTTGGGGTGATGCATATGTTCATTATCTCGAATGTGGTGAGGGCTTCACACATATATACATGAGACAAACCTTATAGAATTGTTTAATTTAAAATTAATTAATTACCAAATTAAACAATGTAAATTATACATTCAGAAAAGCCATTAAATATCCAAACTTACTACGTGGTATCTTCCCTGACGTTGTGCAAGTCTTCTTGTGCAACCCAAAATTAAAAATATTTCTCCTGTAGGCCTTCATTGGTCTGAAGGTTGTTTTTAAGGTTATGGATAATGACTTTCTGCAACCATGTGCTATATTGTTTATTTTCTTTTTTCTTTTCTTAAAAGATTTTATTTATTTACTTATTTTAGAGAGAGTGATAGAGA